AGATAGGAAAGTCAGTGACCCTTATGAAGCTCATGAATATGTGAAGGGTGAAGGCCTGGGGCAGAACAGCTGCACTAGCAAAGACTACCAGAAAGCAACTGTCCATATCTACTTTCTCAGACAAAAGGATCTGCAGAAAGTCTAACTCAGATCATTCAGGCTGTCATCCTAGTCTAGTTGCCATAGAAAGAGAAGAGTGCTTCCGCTCATTTAGCCTATTTCCTTTCCTGCTGAATATTCTCAGAGCAGCCAGTAGGCAATGCTGAGTCAACCACAAATAAGAAAGTATAAAAGAAGCAGGAAGAGAAATAAGACTTACTGTATGGTTAGTGGCAGCAGGACCAGTGACATGCTACTGTTATCTACATGATACAGAGAAATGACAGCATGTCATGTCTCGAGTGGCTCACTGATAGGCTCAGTTAAGAAAGAAAATGTTTGTGAGATGACTTTCTTCAGGTAGTTTTGAAGCACATGCATGGAGGGGACATTTGGTCTGTGGGATCAGTCTAAAGTTAGTCTGAAGTAAACACTCTGTATCTAACCATCTTGTTTTACTGATCCATTCAAATTTTGCTGCATTACCTAAATAATGTAGACTACATAATTGTGTTTGAGTTGGAAAAATCATGTGTTATGTTGGATTCTAACGCTTTTTTTCTGTCCTTATGGTTAAAGGTCTTCTAAGCAGTCTAATGAGCAAGTGAGTGGCCTCCTTCCAAACCAGGCAAGTAGCTCCCAAAGGCATTAGAAGGAGGGAAAACAGCAGGGTAGAAAGCAGTTCCCTTGAATCTTGTTTTTCATCTTCACTTCCAGCAGACCAGAACCAAGAATTCACAGCCAAAAAGGGTCATAAATATTATGATACTGCTTTGCAGCATCTCCTAGTTTGGACACCATCTTTAGGAATGGAAGTTGGAATGATCTACCTTTTAGTTGTGTTAAATGGGAGAGATTAAACACCAGGATTCAAATCAGCTTCCTAAGCTCTGCGATGTCTAAGCCAAGAGCAATATAGCAATAGCAAACATATGATGCGGTCTTTCTCTGTCACATACACAGAATAGTTCATGTGCACATGCACACTAGTTCTGTTTTCCTAAATTCCAGACTTCCTGTACTTTCACCAAAGAGTGTTACATATGAGTAATAGATCCAGCACTTTTTGGAAGCACAGCTTTACTGCTCGTATAACACTATGTGCAGAGAGCATGTGCTCATAGTCTGTTCATATCCTACTTCTTGTCTGGTTCTGCAAAGCGCCCAGGAAAGAGCTGGCTGCCTGCACACCACCGCTACAAGATTTCCAAACTTGCTTTGTGCTGAGACCTCTCCATGCAGGAAGGAACAAGCTGCATACTTTAAGAATAGCTCTGAAGCCAGGAGAAAGCTGCTTTCAGCTAACATCTTTCTTCCATCTGTCAAATGAGAGAATGTGTTCCCGTTATGTGCTGGGAGGAGCCATACACTGAGCATCCCACACAAAAACAATCCTTTTTCTTATCTAATTTCTCAGATAAGCCAGGATAATTCTTATTTTCAAAAACATTTTATCTTTTGACAAACCCATTAAGAAGACACTTGCACACAGGTTTTGGATGCCGAAATAACTTGACAATGCTCCTTAGGTTCCTATGTCACTCAAATGTGACTAAAATTGTTCGTCATGACTGCTACTGTTTTCTTAGTCAATTAAGCATATCCTGCACACAATTCGTTTCTCAATATCATTTTTTTTCTCAAGTCCTTGTACTTGCAACTTCAGTATCTTTTTAGACATTGTCTCAACCTCTTGACATGTCTGAACTTCCTCTTAATAAAACACATAAAATCCTTCTCCAAAAGTTTTGTTGATTTCTTTTCATACAAAAAAATATTAAATATCAAACTCTGCTATGAAATTTCCTCTAAGACTGATGTCATGTATAAAATCTTTCCATTTCAAGAATTAACTTTACAAATGATATTTCTACTGGAGTGTCTTAACCTTATCTAATAATAATAAGCCATAAAGTGCTCTAGTTAATATTAATGTGAAATCTGAATAACTCACATTAGTATAAGATGAAAATTTGGGCTACTAGCTCTAATGCAACAAAAATAAAGAGTACTTTGAAAAGCAGAAATCTAACTGAAAGATTTCAACTCTGCCTATCTCTTACAAACATACCAGTTTACCCTCTTAGGAAATGCTCTTCTCAAATACAGAGTCATCAGGGAAAAATATTTTGAAAAATGTGGGTAAGCATACCTTTTTTTACTGGTTAAACACTGCATAAGAAACTACAATGATTAATTCATCTATATTTGGATAGAGTTTTTTCCTATTTAAAACTACTTCAAGCTCTAAAAAGCAGTTCCTAAACAGGCTACTGGTGTTTGAAATACAGAAATTCATCACTCTTTAGGAAGCCAACAATTATGAGCAAAAAAAGACAGTTTTTCTTTTCAGCCCTGTTGCATTTTCAGGCTGCAGAGATGAATATTGATGAGAATAACGAAAAGATCTTTTACAAATGAGTATTTAAAAACCTTGACAAGAGATTTGTTGCTTGATTTTTACCCTCTAAGCTTATTCAATATTGCCTGAGTATATGGCTCTAGGGAAGTGTTGTTCCAGAGGTATTTTTTAAAGCAGTCAACTTCCACCTCAAAATGTGAGTTAAAAAGTATCACAAGTAAGGAAACATTAATAGTAGAACTAAAAATAACATAATTAGCAATGATATTAAGTACTAAAACACAAGGAGTCATCAAGTTTTAAATTAAATGAGGAACAGAAAAGATGTACATATTCAAAACAAACAAACTAAAAGAAGTGTTATCTAATGAGATTCAAATTAGTGGGATTCCAATTATGGTTTCAGATCTTAAAATATTGAGATGGCATGCAATATTTTGAATGCATGATGACAGAGCTGAATTTATCAACAAACAAACAGATATACAGAAATGTTTCATGGTTGCTTGAAGAATGTGAAAGATTTTTAGATATTCAGCAAGCTGTTGCAAATAGAGTAAGGGTGATTTACATTAGATAAAACTTACCATGATCCCAATTTTTGGGCCCCATAACTATTCCAACAGCTGTGCCTTTAAAAGAGCTCAATTTTGAATAGGAAATTAGGTATTTTTACTATGTAAGCTCTCTTGCATTTCTGAGTCATTTAAGTGAAGAAATGTGATGCACAGCTTCAGCTTTGACTGCCTTTGTTATGGTGTAACATTCTCGCATCAAAGACATGTTAAAAACATGGTCCTTAAGGACTGTTTTTAATAGCTTAACAGGGAAGCTGCTAAAGACTACCTCACCATTATTCAAGCCATTCTGTGTTACTTAATTTTGTTCAGTTCAGAAGGTGTCAATTCTTCTAAGTAACTGCATAACCATCTTGTTCTCAGCTGGTTTCAAGAATATCTCTAGATCTTGATGCTGTCCTTCTTTCTTACATTAAGCACATTTTAAAAAGACTTCAGCTGGAGTTTTATGACAGAATCTGGTCTCAGCATTAGTATACTCTCCAAAAGCAGACATTATTAACAATGTTTTAATAAACACCAGTTATTGAGTGCAGATAGCACTAAAATTATGATATATTAACAATCCAATAATTAATTTTGAAAAATTTAAACAAGAATACAAGAAAACTGATCTCTCTAAGAAGTATGAAAACCAGAAAAAATATTTCATCAGATAAGAGCAGGGACTAAGATTACAAAATTTTGTTCGAATGATAGCATTTCTGAAAAAATTATAAATTCATAGTTAAACTTTAAAAATCTATTGTAATTCATCAAATGCTACATTTATATACCCCAAATGCTACATTTATATACCCCACTCCTTGTACCACTTATCTCACTTGTTTAATATGGTATGTGGAATATTATTGTCTTTAATAATCTCTGGTGTTTCAGTGCACAGACTCGTAGTATATATGGACTAACACATCCAGATAGAGAAATCGTTCACAACTTCTAATTTTTCCCATACAAAAGAAACCCTTGTTCTCTTTTACAAGTGATCCATACAGTAAGCTTTGATGCATCAAAAAGCCTCTTCCAGCAATGTCAACCTCGTGTTCAAGACTGAAAAGTCCTTTAGTAACTCTTCTCATTCTCCATTACCATCAAACTGCAAGCAGATTGATGTCTATTTACCTCAATTATTCTACACATGCTGCTCTCAGAACACTCCATGCACTGTATACGAGATGTTATTCCTGCCCTAATATCTTGCACTAAGTATCTGCATCACATGTAGCAGCCTTCTGAACCTTACTAGTGTCCACTTCTCATTCATTCTCCTTACACAGCTTTTCAAAATCAAATAGTAAGTTTTCATGCTAGGCTCACTATCTCTCTTGTTTGGAATGCCTCCACTGATATAATCTGGTACACAAAATATAAGAACAATCCCTTTATATCACTGATTTTAAAATCTATACTTTAAATCAGCTTGCACCAAAAATTATTGGGCAAATGACTGCAAGTTATTCTGTCCACAGCCGAGAAGCAAAATTCATGTACACAGCAGCAAATCAAATATGAAGCCTGCAGGAAGTCTCTGCATCTTACATGAAAGGCAGGTATTAGGAAAACAATGCTTCATCCAAGGCTTCTAAGAATACTTATGTAAGGGGCAAAGTATTTCCAGGCCAACTGCTATGTAAAGACAAACATCTGAGACTCACTGACAGCCTTATTTACATATATGTAACGACAGTCTATAAACAGATTGAAAAACTAAAAATAATTAAAATAAATTCTAAACAGACGTGACTTCAAATTACAGATTTTACTCTCCTTCGCTTTGTCAATTACATCATACAAAGTGAGTCTAATACAATGACATTGCTTTATGCCACATTTGCATATGCAAAAAACACGTCTACAGAAACAGTCGATAGTTATGTTTATCTCCATTCAGAAAAGTGTTTTAAATAACACAGAAGCTGTAGGTGTTAGTTCCCTCACTTGGATAATAACAGAAACTATACCTTTGGGAGAAGCTGGATTGCTTGTAGTATTCTCTGTCTGTGTCCAGAATTAAGGATTCCTATTTCCAAGAGATCCTGGTCCTCCATTACATTGCTTCCCTAAAAATGGGAAAAAAAAAAAAAAAAAAAAGTGGAATAAAAATGAAAAAATAATAGATGCCTTCAATATCCTGAAACAAGCCCTTCTGCTGCATTTAAGAAAGAACACTTTGCTTAACTTATAGTATCTGACAAGAATCATAAATTACTGATGATTGCATTCATTTTCATGATGACAAAATATAGTGGAAGGTGCTTGAACTCATGGACAATTATACTGCTGGAAGCTCTGCCAGTGGAGAAATTGTAGCTTTCACTCAAGCCAAATACCAGAAGTGAACCTTCTTTCATTTGACTGGAACCAAGGACATGACTACAGAAATTTTCAGAAACTCTAGATTTTTCAACTCCCCTTCTCCCTCACCCAACTATACATGATGTTAATTTTTCTCCAGACTGGAAAATACTTAACACAGAAGAAGAAGAGCAAAGTAGATGAGGATGAAATTATTTAGCTCCTTGTTAGTAAAATGGTGAAGGGAAGGAGTGGTATCAACAAAACCCATACAGTCCCCATCCCCATAAATTTAACTCTACTAGTGCAATCCTAACTTTACCTGTCACTGCTCTTATTTCCCTGCTTGTGGGCAGGTCAGATATTTCCTAACATACAAACAGCTGAAAAAGACCATCTGTTCAAACAATGCACAAAGTAATTGCCCAGAGAAGTCTGTAAAATAACCCTCCACAATTTAAGCCTCTATTCTTAGGAGCTGCTAGCAGTAGGAGAGGACTTATAGGTACACAAACAGGGTAATACAACTTCCAAGTCCAAGGAGTCTGACAACACCTAGGTAGTAAGTTCAGCATCTGAAGGTTAAGGTACTTGATTAGCTGGCAGTGACTACTTGGAATCACGGGAGGCACAACAGTAGCTCTAAAAGGGAACTGCAGCAAGGAATCAAATCAAGGTGGTTCAACACAGACTGGCAATCTTGTATTCCTTATAGACTACCTCATTTCAGACAAAAACTCAGCTTTTTAAAAATTTATTTTATTTTAAAAAAGTTTATAACTATTACAGTTGCAACTAAAAACTGCAAAAAACAGATGACCTGTCTTGAACTCTTACCCTTGTTGGAGTCTCATGACACTGATTTGCTAGAAGCAAAAATTCTTATCATTCGTACTCATTTAACATCATAATGAAATGGACTTTATGTGTGTAAATCCATGAAAACTTCATCTCCACCTTTCCATTTGGCTTGCTGCTTCTGACTCAGTAGAGCTCTTAAGCAGCAACAAAATGAAAAGCTAACAGGCATATAACAGAACATGCTTACAAACTTTGCTGAATCAGGGCTTAATAATGGATATGAATTCTTTCTGAATATCAAATCTCCTGTCCCACAGCAACGTAGCTTTCTTTCAAAAAGCATGCTGGAATATGCAATACTTCACCCTGTTCAGCTGCTAAATCTTCACTATTTTCTGATGGACTGATTAGTTTACAGATGTACTCTTGAGGACTCTCAAGTGCTACTCTGCAGAGTATCCTGCAAAATATAGGGGATGTCTTTTTAGGGTAATCATGGAAAGTTTGGAAAGCTATTACATTTCACACTAAGTGGTATGATTTAAGACTACAAGTCTGCAAATCATACCTTGAAAGGATTTGTGTGCAGCATTCAGAACAGGGGCGGGCAGAGACCTGCTCTAAAGGGAGAATCTGTGCAGTCATGCTGGTTTAAATAGATCGCATGGTGTAAGAGTGCATGCAGCACAGGCTGTGCCAACAGTGATGGTGATGAGGTGGGGTTAATACCCCCTTCACCTCTCTAGTAAACCCATACAAAATATAATTTACCCTTTCTTCCTTACTCCTTTAAATAACCTAAGGGAGGCTGTAAACTTACAGTAAGAAGTAGGGAAAAAAACCTTCCATTTAGGGCTGGATTCTCCAGCTGCTGGAAATAGCATGAATGGATTTAAGGAAACTGAGCCAACTGAGGATCCAGTCCAAAACAAAGGCTATGCATTTTTGTTCATTTTAATAAATGCAGATATTTTGTTTACAGCTATAGCTTTCGGTTCATTTCACTGTTTTTTCAGGTTTCACCTTTAATCACTGCATGATGTTTACACACAATCGTGGTGTACTCATCACTGAGCTACTACACACTGTTTACTGGTGTCATTAACCTTGGCATCCAACTTCAAATATTACAGTGTTTAAAACCCAATTTAGCTAGCACTGAGGCACAGGAAAAATCCTGTCTATTTGCACATAGTTGCTGCATAGCAGAGAAAGCATTTTTATTAATTCTTTACTATTGTTTTTTTTCTTACATATTAGCTCATACATTTTGGTTCTTTGTAACTGGTATTATATATTTTTAAAGTACATCAAGGTTACGAAAACAAATATTTAAAACTCAGGAAAGATTGGAATTCATGTTGCCTCCTTGTCCCCAGTTTAAGAAGGCAACAACCTGGTTATTTTTAAATGTGCTCAGGTTTTGGAGCTTTTGCTGTGCATTACCATCAGTGTCAACAGTAGCAGACACTCATCCCTCCTGAAAAACAGACATAACTGTCTCCTCCCATGGAGCTAAACCAGCTCTTCATCTTTCCATAAGAGCAAACCAGGAAACTTTAGATAGTCACTATAATCCACTATTGCTTAACAGGGAGGAGTAGACTGATAGTAGACTTTGCAGACATACCTGTGAAGAGAAAGAGACCCCCATATTCCTATCTCCCTGGTGTCTGCTTCCATTCTCCCCTTAATCCCAGTCCCTGATTACCCTTGCGCTACTCCAGTCTCCTTCCATACGCTCCTATGATGAGAGTGAAGAAAACCTAACTTCCTTCTGCAGCAGATCAGAGACAAGAGGAGAAACTCTCTCCCTGCTCTTAGCTGCCATACACACATTTATTATAAACTGGGCCAAATTTAACCTCAATTAACTTTACAGAAATGACATGGTAAATGTAATTAAAATGAATATGAATGCAAGAGCGTCTCTTCACATCTTTTCAGCCTTAAAAATAGCTGATCTATATTATCTGAAACATTCACCAAAAAGAAATTATTCTAGTAGACACCTAGAGAATTTGAGTCCAAAGATTTAACTTTGATATTCTTATATACAAAACAGGTTCTTATAATAGGAAATATGGGACAGTAATCTCTACTGGGGTTATTATGCTTTTATTATGTAATAAAACCATAAGAGGCTTTGTGATATTGTAGTTTCTTAAGTCTATAGCAAAACTTAGTTGGAAGGAAAACTTCTCAGAATTAAAGAAATAAGAATGTATCAAAATTGTTTATACTAGGATGGATTCAGATCTCATTTGATTCAGCTTATACTGTTGAAATTCCTGACTTGTTAATGCATAAGAGACAGTCTTATTTATGAATTAAAAAGATCCTGCTTCTGAAGTTCCAGTTAGGAAAGAGTGTAGCTGACCCCTGCCCAGGATTTGTGGTTCTGCATAACCCTCGGGAATATCATCTTTTTCCCTGTAAGCACATACAGGAAGCCAATCTCCTGAGTAAGAAGGCAGTAGTTTCACAGAACAGTTGGGCTCAAGAAGGAAGGAAAAACGACTCTGCATGTGGGAGACTGGAGGCATATGAAAAACAACACAATTTTAAAAACTCAGAAGTTCTGCCAAAATCTAAGATAGTTCCTATAAATAAGTTCAGAACAAAATACATAATGGTAACCTATGAGGTAAAGATTTTACTGGCATTTATTTGGGTTGTTCCACATAAAATCACCTCTGGCACTCTCCACCTGAAGTTAACACAGTCTTTCTCAAAAATGCTGGATTAGACCTTTATACCAGTTTCCAAATATATGTAAGTACAAATATATGTATACGGAATCTTTAGGAAACAATTGAATCTGGAATATGCCAGATTTATAGCAAAAAAATTACTCTACTAAAAATAGCCTAATTTTAATACATTAAACAGCTCAAAGAACCTCTAGAATCCAATCAAAGCAAAAGACTCATAATCTTTAGACAAATTCTTTTACTATCAAAAGAGAACAACTTTAAAGATTCTTAAAAAAAAAAAAAAAAACCAAACAAAACCAAAACAATATGCTTTCTACATCCTGAAGGAACAAAAGCACTTCAAAGATTGTCCCTGAAGATAAAATATGGTGATTTGAAGAACATATTAGGATGGCAGGCATGACTGTATGTTTCTCACTGCCCCCTTCTTGTACCTATGTTTTTAATCTTCTTTCATATATTTTTTGTGCTGGAGACCTGAAGTAAAAAATTCCAATGTTTGGTTCTGTCACCTAAGTAAAATGGTACAGAAGCTTTAAAACAATTGGCAGATATATCCCTAGACTTACCTGTAAACTCAATCACTGAAGTTGGAAGAGACGGGTTGTGGGGAACTAACCACCTGCATATGCTTTTTGGTTTATTATTATTCTTTACCTTGGCTGGTAGATTGGAAACCTAATAAATATTGGAGAGAAGTTTCATAGATTTTCATTGCAAAGTTCTGGGAAAAAAACCTCAATGGAGGGGTAAATGCATATGCATTGCTTTATGTAAATAGAATAAAAACTGACTGAAAAAAAAAAAAAAAAAAAAAAAAAAGAGAAGGAACGAATTAATTTTGCACTTAAGGTTTTTTTTCTCCCTTACAGAAGAAAAGATTGTTATAGAGGATTGGGGAGATTTCTGGCTATAGGCTGGCAACATCAACTAAACCAGCCTATTCTATGCTCCGCTATGTCAGCTAGAGGAGGAAAAGTAGTAAATCTGGTGCCTAAAGCTGTGTGAGAGCTGCTACTCATGAGGTCGAGTTGAAACAATTTGCTGTGCAGCCATTAATGAGACCAAGTTCAGCTGGAGATGCCAAGTGCTACTGGAGGTGGCAAGAACTTCTGATGACTTTTTTATTTTTCTGGTGTATTGGAAATTGTTTGCCCAAGAACAGAGATGGTGTGGGTAAGGGACGAATGACTTCGGAGGTGAGTACAGTGTTGATGGGTCAGCACTGGTGCTTGCATCACTCTCAT